TGAGATATGGTCATTCTATATGTATTTTTTTCTTCAGGTGTTTTTATTATAAATGGATGTTGGGTTTTTTCACAGTCTTTTTATGAATCTAATCAGATGATCATGTGGCTATTTCCCTTGCTTCTGTTTACATGATGTATTACATTTAGTAATTTATACATGTGGAACCATCCTTGCATCATGAGGATGAAGTCAACTTGATCATGATGTATGATTTTCTTGATAGTGTGCTACATTCTATTCACTAATAATCTTGTTGAGGATTTTACATCGCTGTTTTGTAGAAAAATTGGCCTGTAGTTTCTTTTTTACATAATTTTTTTCTGGTTTTGATATCAGGGTAATGGTACTTTTCAGGAATGAATTTGACAGTACTCCTTGGCTTTCAATTTCAGTAAAATTTCTGAGGTGTATTGGCATTAGATCTTTTCTAAAGTTCTTGGGATTTCAGTGGTGAATCTTTTCAGGCCTTCATCTTTTCTTTTTCAGTAGATATTTTATTACTGCCTCATTGCCTGTTATTGGACTATTCAGTTTTTTGTCATCTTGATTAAATTTTTGGAACTCATATGCATCTAGAAATCTACCCATTTATTTTAGATTCTCCAGTTTAGTGGAGTACAAGTTTTCAAAGTAGATATTTATAAAACTCTGGATGTTAGAGTGTTCATAGTGATCTTGCCTTTTTCATTTCTAAATGCATTGATACAGTTTTGACTTTCCTTCTCTTGGAAAGTTTGGGTTAGGATTGTCTAGTTTGGGTATTACAAGAACCACCTTTGTATTGATTAATACTTTGTACTGTAATTTTACTCTCAATTTCAGCTCCGATATTTAAAATTATTTTCCTTGGGCTAAATTTGCATTGTTCTTGTTTTTCTAGGGCCTTCAGATGCCCTTAGGTTATTTATGTGGGATCATTCTCTTCTGATGTGGACATTCATAGTTATAAACTTGTCTCTTAGAAGTGGTTTCATTACCTCACATAAGTGATGGTAAGGTTTACTGACATTATTGTTTAATTCTAGAAATTGATTGATTTTTTTTCCTCTGTGACCCATTGTTATTATTGTTACTGTATTGCTTAATCTGAAGTGTATTAATAATTTTTGTGGTTTCTTTTTGTCATTGTTTTTTATTTTTATTGTTCCATAATAAAAATAACATGGGGTTATTTTGATCATTTTTATTTAAGCAAGATTTTTGGGCTGTTATGTATTCTATTTTGGAGAAAAGTTCTATGTGCTGCTGAGAAGAATGTATGTTCTGTTGTTATTGG